ATTATTGTATTATCTCTCATGCTCTCGATGACTTTAATATAATACTTATATATCTCAACCGTACAATTGTGCATTACTGAATCCGAGTAGTAATAGAACTAGCAGCGTGTGGGGGCTGGCACGCAGTGCCACTTTTAATTTAATACTACACTATTGGGCTCTATGTTTCTGTTTGGTACAATAATTCTGTGCAGTGGCAACACAGAACACACAGACAATATTCATGAATATTGAGTTTTATTAGGGAAGCTAAGAGGTTACAAAATATTAAGGATACAATTCTTTTGTGCACAATACATCTCTGGCAGATCACTCTCTGATCGTAGGCCACTAAGCTATGTGAAATCACGTCCAGGAATCCCACTACCCTGTCTCACAGCCCATGTGCAGCTCCTCTGCTCTGCCGCATGGTCTCAGACTCACTCCTCTGCTCTGTCTCCTGATCTTGGTGCTACAGTCTCTGATGTCTCTGCTACGTCTGCCTTTCAGATGAGATCTCACATACACTGCAGTGGCAGCCACCCCCTCTTGATGGTCACAGGATTCTCTATCCTGTTTCTGAGATGGCTCACTCTTACACACCCAGTAGAAAGGTAAAACTGACCAATCCCATGTATTAATGTCTCACATACCCTATTTGCATGATCCCACCCAATCCTTTGGAGAAAATCATGAAGACGTGGATAAAGGAGCCATCCCAAGTAATTTCATTCACCACACTCATAAGCCATAGTTTTATATGTGGAAGGCAATAACCAAGGTGAAAAAACAAACAAACAAAAAACCTTGGGTGACTTGGCATCACCAACTCACTACTGATAGGTTTAATTTTTGCCAAAGTAGCCTATGGATGCTATTTCCTGTGGTAAACTGAGGGACTGGATGAGAATGTAATGCAGCTAAATCCTCTGTGCTCACCGTTATGGGTCTGGAAATCGAACTCTAGTGGGGGAAGACCCTCACGTGTATGAGATATAAATAAATCTTAATACATATTCTCATGACTGGACACTGTCCCTCCAATAACCCCAATAAAGGAATTGTCATAAAGGAGCTACCATAAAACATGTCCCGTACCTGTGTCTGGCTATTCCCTGTGCCTGAAAGTTATTTGTAGATAAGAACAATCAGGTTCTATAGCCCAACCTACTATAAATTTAGAAAATCCTCTTCTGATGTTTCTTACTCATATGGATCATAGATTGCTCCCCTGGGGTGGACTCAGGGGTGTTCGAGGTCAACAAGCACTAGGTCAAGATTCTGAGTCATTTTTATTGCCTGTTCATTATGTTACCCACTTATGATATTACTCATTGATTATGTTACATATTTGCCACATGACATGTATACCTTTTGAAAGATCTGTAATATATACCCATTAGAAAATACATTCACTTTCTTGGTCCTGGCATAGAGAAAAGGAAACCCCTGAGCCCTACTATCTATCTATCTATCTATCTATCTATCTATCTATCTATCTAATCTGTAATATTTCCCATAATCACAAAGTCACTCCTGAGGATCTGTTCAATTATTGGGGATCTGTATCCTAAAATTTCCCATGATCATACTAAAATATAGATGGAGGGCACTACTACATATAAGGACCTATTGTGAGGAAATCAAGATTTAGGGTCCAAAATATCTACTCAGACTCAACTCAAACAATTACAGTTGATGGGACAGCATATTTGTTGTATTGAATATCTATTAATACAAATATCCTTTACTAATACAACACCATTAAATGTCCTTTATGACTTCTTTGAAAAGTTCAAAATCAGTCAAATTCAGCAATCATTATCTCATAGAAATAATCTACTAGAGTTGCGTTGAGAAATGATGCCTCTAACGGACTCCAGTGTCCTTTTCATGGTTGACCAGCCTCACCAGCTCTTTCCGTTGATCAGTGTGGGAGGCAGAAGGGCTTATGTGCTCCAGGAGTGCAGTCTCAAAGACTACCACGTGAATGGTAGCATATGTCTAGAGAGTGTAGATACATATACAGAAAATACATTATGATACAATTGTGTCTGAGGTCTGCTTCAAAATAATCTGAAGTAATGTTTGGGTAATGTTGAAAAAAGATTAGATTGATGTCAACTATTATTTAAGCTTTATGTGATTAGTAGACAGAATTTTATTTGAAAAAATTCTCACTTTTTGATAAATATTTGAAATGATCTTTAAAACATTTTAAAGAAAAACAAGTATTCTAATGTGTAAGAAATTAGACAGGTGTGTGTGTGTGTATATGTGTGTATGTGTGGGGTTTCACCCATCTGGGGAGTTGATTGGAGCCCTGGTGGTGAAGTGGTTATGTGTCGGGCTGCTAAGTGAGAAACCACTAGTTCAGAACCATTACCTGCTCATTGGGAGCAAGATTAAGCTTTCTATTCCTGTAAAGAATTAGTCTTGGAAACCCACCGGGCAGTTCTGCTCAGTCTTATATGATCACTAGGAGTCAGAATGGAATCAATGGCAGTGGGTTTGGCTTGAGATTTGGAATTTAGCCAAAAAACTTAAAACATTCATATAATCTGCATAATTCATTTCACTTCTTAGAAATTATCCTGTGAAATCACAGGGTATGACATAAAACAACTCTATCCCTCAATTGCTCATGGCACACTGAGGGATAAATCAACATAAAAGCAGGGATAGTGCTATTTTTCCTAAATTGTAAGTGAAACATTTACCTATTATAACTTTGGAAGTAGTTATAGTGTCAACAATATTTTTCTTCTCTATAATTTTCCATAGTTTAATAATTTTGAGAAGTTTCCTACACTGTTAGGGATGAAAATTCATTGTTGTATCTGCTAATTTTCTGTCATTGGTAACATAAGCATACTTGTCTATAAGGAGGTCAATTTGCACCTACTTTTTATATCCAAAGATAAGGAATTTAATATAGATTTCAGATAAATATTTCAAACCTGATATAAACTTGTCTCTGACACATTCCTTTCCTTTGCGTGTTGGGGGAAGGGGAACTAAAGTGCTCAAAAGTTGTCTGAAATGATGGCGATAAAATCATTTACCTGCCTAAAGAAGTCTCAAAGACAAATGTACGAGTCCCTGGAGAGAAGGTAGGAAGGTGCCAGAAATTCAAAGGCCATCATCCACAGAATTTGGTACACTGTCTGAATATAACTAACAACAATGCCCACTGTGGCGGGAAAGTTGTTTGCTCCTTAGGCAAACAGGACAGGACCACCACCTTCCATTGTTCATGGCCTGGGGAAGAATGCTGATGGCTCAGCCATGGGAGCTGATGAAGCAGTGGCTGGCCTGTCTCTCCACCTGAGATAAACGGACACCTGCCTTCTGTTCCCTGACTAAGGCTACGGAAGACAGCAGTCTGCAAACTTATCAGTTACTTCATGTTCCCAGCCTCACCCTCCCTTCTTATCTGTGAACAACTTAGTTGAAGTGTTCATGCTTCTTTGTATGTTTTAACAATTATGAACTGTCCCTTTGTGTGTAAATCTGTCACATGTTGCAGGCTACATGCAGGGAATGTATTTAATTCTGCCCCTAATAAGTCCAGGGCCCTGGAATGTTTATACTGCAGGGACCCCCACACTCCAACTTTTGGCTGTCCCTTTTGTATATGTTTTCTCGTTGCAGCTCATACCCCTCTGAATCCATTAGTAATGTCCGAAAGATGCCGGTCTCAATATTATCTGCCCACATGAGCCAACTTGTAGAGAAGCAGCTGTTCTCAGCATTGACAATACAGTCATATACTGACCGCAGAGAGGTCAGCAGTGATCAGAACACTTCAACAGAAAACAAGAAAGTGCATTGGCAGAGGGTTAAGCACCACATGGGAGATAATTGAGTAGAAAAATTAAATTGAAGTTCAGAGCTAAAAGGTTAAGGAATAGCTTTCACTGAATTGTGTGTCCCAAAGACATTCTGCTCAGCTTTGGTCTGACAATCAATCTACAGAAAACTACACTAGATTTACTGAAAAGCTACCTGGAGAGAAACAAGAAATGCACACAGTTCCCAGGTTGTCATGAGGACCATTCCTAACTGTGCCTTCAAATATTGACCTTGAATTTGTAGTAGATGAGACAAGTACACAAATCAGGTTGGGCTGTGATCCACATGGTTGGCAGTTTGAAACCATGGGCAGCTCTATGAGAGAAAGACTGGGCATTCTACTCGGGTCCACAGTTAATTTTGGCAACTCACGG